TTGAAAATGTTTAGAAAAATTTGCCACATATTACCACAAGATTTCATTCTGTTGCATCATGGCAGTCGTTGTGACAACTTGTTTATGAAGCTATCTACGTGAATTCTTTCCTTTAGTGAGTATATTCGTAAATAGACTGAAACGGCAAATTTTTCTAAACATTTTCAAAAAGTAACATAAAACAAGTGAAAAATGTGCAACATTTTAAAAATTATTTTACTCAACAATCAAACGTTCTCTGAAGCTAAAACACATATAATTTTATAGCTAAGGTGTTTATCTGTAGAATGGCGTATCTATCAGCTCTATTGAACATTTCTATGAAAAGTTGTCATTTTTTCAAAATATGGTACTTTTCGCTACTATTAAAATAAAATGCTTATAACTCCTCACGGATTGAACGAGAGCACGAATAGTTTTCAGATTCGTAATCAGCACCCTTAAACTAGCAAAGTAGGGTACATTTCATTGAAATCCCCGGGAGATACTTGGGCACCTTCCTTCGTCAGTCGACTTGATTGTCACGTGACACTTCAGATATATTCAGTACGAACAGGTGCAGTGACTCATTAAGTAGTCACGTGCTGCTTATCAGTCCACACGTCTGTATAATAGTTTGATGCATTTATAGTATGAAACATTGCTACCGATAGAATGCATCAAAATGTTTACTACTAGTGTACTACAGTGTTGTAACCGTATGTAAGGGATTCGAACGGTGTCTAACGTGTTTCTAATAAACGTTTCACTGGATTGGGTTTCCAATCGGCCCGCAGGGTGGTTAGCATCTAGTTTTGTATGTCATCACGCTGACTATCGGCCCTGACATGACTGGAACCTTATAAAAGACAAAGTGTTACTAAAGACATGTAGTAATTGTAAAGCTCATACGAAAGAATAAAACACATCTTTCTCGCATTAATCTTGTTTTTGTGCTTTAAACTGAGATCGTTCGTAAAGAAAAGTTTTCCTGATGGTAGAGAAACTCATCAAGTAATGAATCAAGTTTATTTCAATATATATTGAACTCGAGTTGTCCAATCTCGAAAAGTTTCTCCTGGTGCACAGGTAAGTCTGAGTATGATACAACTAAATAATCGCCACACAATTATGGTGTATCTATTAAGATAGTTTACGTTAATAATAGTTTACGTTCTTTTCTTTATGTATTGTGTGACAATGTTATTAATTCACTTCGCGTATAAAAACTCGAAGTATGAGTGCAGTCACGGATGACTTGATACTACATAGTAAAATTCGATGAGAAAATAAAAATTTTGAACGTGAACAAGTGTCTCTTTCTTTTATTTGTAATGTAATATTTACATTTTTTTTCGTTTCTTCGATCATAAATTTTTTATTAAACACCTCGGTATTTCATTGCATTCACTTGCTCTTCGTGATATACTACGGTTGAAAACACCTCGGATAAAGACGGACTTTCGTATAAACGATGAGGTAAGAGAAAGAAATGTAGGTCTTTGGTTGTTGTATCAAAGACTTTTCTGACTAATCAATCGTTTCAATGACTAGCGGTCAGACACTATCAAGTACTTTTCAATTGACACAATTATATCAGTCACTAAAACGACTTATGATATGACGCTGCCAGCCGAAAAAACGATTGATCATTTTCCCAGACACAAAAACGACTGATGCTAAATTACTGAAAACAGATGCTCTTAAAAACATAGGAAACTTTTTTTTATAAGATATTTTAAATTTTTAAATACGAGTTTTCGACGTCCAATGTAGACGTATTCTTTTTTGTAAATGTGTTGAGTGACTAGTAGCCTGTTTTGTACAATCACTGTGCTCGTTAACTATGCGGCCTCCCGATTATAGTATTTCAGCAGCTCGAGTGTGGTTTCAATGTAAAAGGTGCTCGGAAATCAAATAAAAAAGTGAACTTTTAGTCTGCAGTTTGATGAAAAAGAGTCTGTTATTTCCTGCGTCTCTGATGCCTTAGAAAAGCACAATTGATTGAAGAAAAGTTTTAGAGAAACTTAGGTGTAAATCAAAATTTCTGAATATATTTTCCTTCTTTAAACTGTTGCTACCTTTACCTATATTTACTATTCTTCCCTTAGGCGAGAAGTATAGAAGAATAGAACAAATTAAACACCGCTGTCCGTCTGAAAGCTTTACCTTAAGAAACATACACACCCTTTATTCGATTAATGGAGTTAGATACTTTTCTGAAATAAGTCGAAGATGATACTAACAATTAGGCGTCTGTCCCAATTTACAGTATATGTTGTTGTCATGGGAACACTCATCAGAAATGGACATCTCGCAAAGAAGAATTCACTTTTTTAAAATTACAAAAAAAATACGTAGCATCTTAGCAGATGATGTGATATGTTGCGTAGTTATGTAGAAAGCGATTATATTACCAAAATAAAAGTTCTATATAGACAGACAATACAGTAGATAACTTGACCTCTTGGAAAGTGTTTAAGCGATAATACCACTAACTAGTTCTTTACCCTTGGCAGCTGATCTTGCAAAATAAACTTGATAGTGTCATAACTCTTTTACACTCGACGAAAAAAACATTTCTTATTATTAATGACTAGCTTATAGTGTCAGCTTACATTTTTATCTCCGTTTTATTATTCGATGCATCGTCATCTTGTCATAGCGATTCTACGATATCCCACTAATGTTCACACCTGTGGATATCCGGAGGTAACGGGTTAGCAAAGAAAGAGGTAATCCTATCGACTGTAACGCAGAAAAAAATAGGTCCATATGGGTGACCACGAAATTTCTACCGTTAAACGCTAGTAAAGACACATTTACGTTTCAAAAAGCGTTGATAATAGCGACTAATAGTAAAAAACCAGACGGTCACTTATCCTGACCAAAAGAATAAGTATTGGACCTCTAATTTCATGTTCAAGGTGTCTTGGACTATAAAAATAGTCACTGTTAGGTAAATTAAGAGATCCGCGTCCATTCATCTTGTCAAGAGCTCACTACGTAACAATTGTAGTATATGATATCCATGAAACGGATTGAAAAACTGAATTAAAGTTCTTGATATTTGATACTTCAAATCTCACCTTTCAGAGTTTTGTAAAGCACTCTACTATTAGTTTCAATGTTTAATTTTGATTTATATTTTCCCTTTATTTAGCAGCAAAGCAAGGTAGTTATATATGCATGTTTTTTCAATCCACCACGTCTAATTAACTAAACTTGCGTCTATTATCATACAACTAATTATGCCTTAACATTCTTGAAGGGTAACATTAAAAAAAAGCTTTGCTAATATTGAAAATCATTAAAACTATTTAGTTTACAAGCTTATATTTGTTAAAGTTCTAAAATTCCAATCTTTGTAATTTTTTTCATATACATGATCAATCAAATTATGGTACTCTTTTGATTCCGATCTGTTCATTTTATGAGTAGAACAGTAGATTTTCTGCACTGATTCTGATCATTATTATAATTTTGTTTCAGTGGACATGGCGATCAACGCTCTAGCCGTCATAAAGAATCGTCACACGGGACAAAAGATAGTAAATCATCGTCATCTGTGCCCCTTGCCGCTTCAACTCAAGATCGACCATTTAAAGACAAACATCATCCATTGTTAATTGCTATATGGAATACAGATCGAACGCAAACCGATACAAATGAAAAACTCAAGGGTATTCGAGATTTAATACGAAAGGGCACAAGTAAGTAAAAAGAAATTACAGAATATAGTCTTCATTACTAATGTAAATATAAATCTTTAAATTAAGATCCATCAGTGCAATGTGAAATATTACACGAACAAACTGGCACACCAATTGCTCAAGTATCACCACTTATTATTGCCTGTTTCGAAGGAGATCTTGATATCATTCGATTTTTAATTGATGTACGTACTATCAATTACTTTGTATTAGTTTGAGTTATATTCCACTGAATGTCTAATCATTTTATTTCATAAATAGAATAATGCTGATCCAAATCAGACTGAAAGTGAACATCATTTAACACCAATTCATGTTTTGTGTGATGCAGAATATCATGGTCAAAGTTTACGAGTATGTACAACTTTGAGTTTCATTGAGTTGAAGTAGAAGCTGAAAATTTTCTTATTTATAAAGCAAAAAGATCGTGCTGAATTGATACGAGCATTAATTAAAAATGGGGCACAGGTCAATCATTTAGATCGAAGTTCTATGGCCGCAATTCATAAGTAATTTATAATAAAATAATTTGAATAACGACTTTACTGAGTGAGTTTTCTGTGTTCTAGAGCTGTTATTCATGATAGACCTGATTGTGTTGACGTCTTGATGGCCGCTCATGCTGATCCAAACGTGGCATTTATGGGCGATACTCCATTAAGTATTGCAGCTCGACATAATCGAAGAAAAATCGTCCAGTAAGATATTTTTCAACACTTTGATTACTCTTATTTTATAAAATAATCTAAATCTAATTAGGAATTTATTGGAACATAAAGAAACGAATGTTAATCATCGAAATGATCAGGGAGGTACAGCATTACATTTTGCAAGTGCAGGTAAGCGATAATAATGCAAACTAATGTAAATTTTGCTTAATTATTAGTAGTTTTCTATTAAAAAAAAGGTATCGTCGATAGTCCAGAATGTGTTGATTTATTACTAAGTCATGGAGCTAAAGTGAATGCACAAGATCTCAAAAATAATACATCGACAATGGTTGCTTGTTTTTTCAATAAACCTCGTATACTACAAACGTTACTTAAGGCAGGAGCTGATGTAACAATACGTAATAATGAAGGTGAGTGCTCGAATATTATTATTGTTTTTTCTACAAAATACTTCTCTATTTAAAAATCTTTGTTTAGGTAAAGATGCGTATGATGTTGCTGCAGAAAAAGAATTTGATGAATGCAAAGAAATTGTAGCAAGAGCATTAGAAAAAAGGGGTATAAAACCAGGCAAAAAAGATACAACAGATAAATTAGCGGAAGATGTTGATAAATTAAAATTAAAACGAGATAAATAGATAAACACAAACTTATAGACATCAATTATTATGATAGACCATATTTTTCTCTTAAAAGAGATTTGCTTTTTTTAGTTTTAATTTTATCTTTCAATTCAATCTTCTCGTTTGAGAAAAATTTTTTTTTTTCTATTCTACTTTAATATTTAGAAGAATTTTTCTCTATCTGTATTCGTTTCAATTGCAAAAAATCTCAGAAACTCTAAACTTTTTGTTATTGTTATTTGTTTTTTTCATTTTTTTTAATGTGTAGTAGAATGTGCATTAGACTATTAGATAATCTTAAAGCCACGTACTTTGGACTCTCGAATCCAATTCATTAGTTGTTTTTTTGGAATAAGTTACGTGATACATATTCTATTTGAAATTAAATTATTCATTTGTAGTTTCTTGTCTTAACATCAATGAATATCTTCAATATTGTCATTAACAGAGTATTGTGCCAATAAGAAGTTAGAAGAGCTAATATGAATGTAACTATGAATGTATCCGTTCATAGTGTAACCGACAAACGTCAGATAAATTAACAAATGTTAACTATTTTATCAGAATTAAAAGCTAAATGGTACGAAAATACACATATTACATAGATTCCATAAAATCATTATTTTTCGGCCTAAATGAAATGTATTAGTAGTAGAATAGAACTACGGAAAGGAGATTGGCAATTAAAAATATTTTCGATTTTAGGATTTTGAAATATATGGTAATATAGGCTGAATATTAACGTACATTGGACTATAGTTAGTTTTCTTACGAGCCAGTGTGTTTAATCTATAACTTCGATTTTATCCAGCATGACACATTTTGACAATTACACTGGGGTTACACTACGTAAATAATCATGATTAACTTTAATCACGATTAACTCTATCGAAGGGAGACCATTATAACGCAGCTCGTATATGAATGCTAATAATTGGTACTATTAAATCATGATTATCTTTTTCATCATGATTAGTGCGGTTACACACTGTCCCAAAATGTTACGGTAAATGTGTAACAATGTCATACTAAAAGTATGTCAATGTAACATTGACATACTTTTAGCATGACATTGTTACACATTTCGGTACAGTGCACACGTTTTTTAATCACAACAAAATATAGTTAATAGTGATTTAAAAAAGTTGCGGTTACACTAGAAAATTATTAATCGTGAATATTTGGCGTAACCACACGGTTAATCAGTAAAATGTTTGTCTACGGAGAATGATTCAGTTCATTTTCATTCTATTTTGCTAGATTCTATAGATTCCTTCGATGGCATATAAACAAGGGGGGGGGGGGGGGGGGGCGGAAGGTGGAAGTGATTGGGGGGGGTTGGGGGGGGATGGGTTTGGGTTTATTTGGAAAATGGGGGGGGGGGGGTAAAATGGGATGTTTATGTTTAAACCC